ATCGACAGATCAATTATAACCTTTTAATGGGTGATTGTAGCACTCATCCAGAATTTAATAAAAACATAACACTTGAACATTAAAATTCTAAATTAAAATCAGGAATTATCATATGAATATATATTAAACACATTATAAGTTAATACCTGCATTATGTCACTCTCAAGGAACAAACATTACATTTTACATAATCCCGAATTAACTCAAAATAAATGTGATACGCATACGATACAATACAATATATTATAATTTAAGCGTTTTTTATCGGTCATTGTGGATTTCTGGGTATTACATTATTATATTTTGTTTTGCTTCCGTCTCCGACGATAAAAATAAACATTTGGTACAGATAGCCGACGTCATGAATGTGTACCTTTACAACATTCACCAAAACATTGCACAAAATAATATTATATTTTTTTAATCTAATACCATCTATATAGGCACTGACATGCTTTATAAAAATGAAGACTATCGACAAAACTGACAAAATTAATGGCCTTTGTCTAAAATTGTTGATATCCATAACGTCTTATTTTAAGAAGACTTTATACACATATACGAGTACATTTCACATTTTCACTACATTTCGTCTCTTATACAAATGAGTAACATACCAAATTTACTTGTAATCAGAGTGAATCAACCTATTATGAAAATTGATGGCAAGAATATTAACTGTGTATGCGGGTTTTTTACGATAGTTCAATAAATTGTCTATCAACTTTTGCGTATATAATAAAACATAAATTAAAAATGCCCATAACTCATTTAAAAACTGAGTTATTGTCAAAAACCCACATTCAAACACAGGCAATGTTATTATTATCAAGTTTCAAAATAGTAAGTTACTAAATAATAATTACTAATAAGTCACTCTAATTTTTAAGCTAACGAAGTCAAACTTGATCTCAGAGCGTAAATTTGCTACGTGTTACGCACTTGAAGACGGATACCACAAATTCCTGTGTAGCATCCTCTTAATCCGTGGTGACTTGTATACTATACTATTTATGGAACTGTTTAAAAGACATTTTTTTTCAAAGAAGCAATTTAAATATTGTAGACATCATTTTTACTCTCATAATATACTATATAACAGGCACTCGAAAAAATGTAAAAAAGCATAATGATTGTGTAAAAGGATATAAATCATAAATAATTATATTTAAAAAAAACAGGCAGTCAGTTTGCAGTATTCGTGTATAGATGGTTTTGACTTTTCGAGAGTATCTCGTTATTGAGCTGTAAGGTCACTGCACTGGATATGTTAAATTCTTAATTCAATGATAATAATTCATTGCTTACCAAAAACGATTCTGATGTTGGACTCCGTTTAGACTCATTAGGTGATAAATTATTATTATTTATTATACTTGTATAGGTTTAAATATCCAGTGTCATTACATTTGTTGTACAATTTGAACAACAGATGATTATAATGCACAATATTGTTACTATTATTATTATGTTTTATATACATGTTGTACTCTAGAAAAATGTATGAGGAATATTGTACATGTATGCCTTTAAATATCTTATTATTAAATTAAGAACAAATCATGAAGAATTTTGTATTACATTTTTGACCCGTAAATAGGTATAAATATTACATTTAATTTTCAATTGTTTGTAATTTTGATAGTCAACATTCAACTTTCAATGCGTATAAACAATAACTGGATTTGTGATATTTTGCTTTGCTTTAAGAACAACAGTGAAGAAATAAACATAAACTAGGTATAGATTTGTATAAAACGTATTATAAAACGTATTATTTTTATCAGATTCATTTTTACGAGTATATTAGTAGATGAAACAATAATTTGAATTAGTATTTCATGTACCTATATCATAATAGGCTACCTATAATCATAAATAATGTAAAAGCTTTTAGCTTTATACAGCATGTAATTAAGTAACTACACATTATTATTGTTGTTATAATTAATTGTTTTTGTTTCAGTTAATGTAAAATAAAAAAATCTAACAACATTACAACGAAGAGTCATATAATTATTAATTAGTTAATAACTTTAGAAACGATGGGTATATTACGATATTAATGATATTATGTTTTAAGTATCTATATGCATACCTATGCATATGAATCCATTTTAATGATACTATATTGGCGATTAATTATTATACTATGATATAGATACGAGTAAAATAATAATAAAATGTATTTAACCTTAAACAAAACCTTTCATCCTATAATGTTGTTTCTGGTTTTATTATTATATAGCGTTTATAACTGCTTTAATTACATGTTATGTGCAGGAGATACTTTAAAAAAATCTGAAGATTATATTTTAATCATATACAATGATATTGCTAAAACAATAATAGGTACTATGCAAATAGGTTATAATATAATATTATAATACATATTATATTGAAACATGTTTCGGGCGAAGTGGAAAATTTTCCCTTAAAATAGTATATTATTATGATTTATGAGTTATCGAAACACTTCACAAAGACAGGGTATTTCTTTAAAAATGTTCTTTTTTCATGTTAAATTGTTTTATTATTCATACATCAAGAATGATTATAATTTGGATTCGATATATTGTGTTAAATTGTTCCTTTAGATATTATTTTTATTTCATTTATTATAGTAGGTATTAGCGCTGAATCGATAACTGCAATACAATTTGACAACATTTTTAAGCTCTGAAATGTCCGTTTCCAATTTTTTTTTTTTTTTTTTCTGAAACTGTAGTAGACAGGAATAACAACAATCATCGGATGTTTTCTATTCGTTGGATTGTGGAGGTGACTAATGACGCCACGTCGTGTGTAACCTATATTAAAGAAGTATTAAATGGCGTAATTGGATGTTGAAGTCGATCTGAGTGCACGTGAAAAATATGTTTTTAAACATGACCACTTTCCCGGACCTGGGGCCAAAGGGGACGCACACGCCGTTTGCATAATAAATAATATTATAATAAGCGTATAACATAGTATAATTTATATTATATACATATACAGGGTGCTTTTTAAGCACGCTCACACAGTCACACCCAATTTTTATGTTTAAATTATGCATACGCAATATATTCATATTCTGATTTTTGGAATTTTGGAATTTTCATATGTAATTAATGATGAATATTGGTTTTTCAAACAAGAACCTATACAATGCAAATTGATGCAAACAGATGATTTTTCTGAAAATGTTAACCTATTGTACGTAATCGAAATTTGAAATAAAATGTTCAGTTATTCAACTTTAATACTAGTTAGAATATAAAATTGTATATTAAATTGTCTTTTAAAAGTACTTTTTAAAATAACTTATGTTTTGAAAATTATTGGGTGCAATATTAATCCATAATCATTTTGTAATATTAAAATACTGTCTTAGTATACTTGACTAAAAAGTGATCATTAACAAATATTTTAAAATGCATACATAAATATAATTAGATTACCGAGCTCGCATCCATTTACAATGTATTTAATATAGACTATTATCCTTATAGTATTAAAATAGAACAACTCAGAACATTTTCATTCGAATTTTGATTAAAATGTGTTAATATTTTTTAGAAAAATCCGTTTATAATCTGATTAACACACAGCATTAAAACGTCATATACGTTGTCATTTTAAAAATTAATTTTGATACTCAAATATTGTGAAAAATCTAAAGACCAAAAATATCGTGTTTAACTATGTACAGTTAAATATTCCAAAAATTCATAATTTCACAGGAAGGCAATGCTGTATACATCACTCTGTATAATATATTATTATATTATTATAATATTGTGTCCAGTGTGTCGGTCGTGAAGTCGATGATGAAATGCATTTCGGTGGTCTTACATGTTTCTTAATTATATTATCCATAACAGTTACAGCAAACTCTGAAACTTAAAAGAAACTCACCCGGGGCAGCGACGCAGGTTGATGCCGCTCTACGCGTCAAGTGTTGTTATTACAATACATAAAAAATTTCTGGTTAAAATGAAATGATAAAAATAAAATGAAAACAAATCGCACTGACAAAATAAATTATTACAACAACAATAATATAGTATATATTGATATTACGATAAAGGAGTGCGTCGGGTGCAGGGACGTAGCCAGAGGGGGGTCCATGGGGTCCGGACCCCCCCCCACCCGAAATTTTTAGTAAAATGTATTTTAATACTGAAATTAAAATTCTGCGTACTACGAATAAGCAAAATTATAGGGATAATTATAAATTATAATATTTTTATTCATGTAATTCATTAGAAGAGTAAAATAAAATATCTGTATTTTTACCATGTTTAGATGGTTTTATTTTACATCTCGAAAATAGGTTTGAACAGAATGACGATATTTTATAGTCAATAGAAATATTGTAACCAAAATTCGCTTTAGAAAAAAACGTTGAAAAACTAAAAAATCTCACTTTTTTTCACTTGATTCACTTGATTCACGTAACCGATCGTAAACGGGGATCGTCACTGGCCTCTAAGTGGAAAGTTGTTGATAAGGTTTTCAGAAGCTTACTGTAACTAAAAAAACTAAGGACAGAACCTACCAATACTTAATAGTATGGTGTGACAGTGGCTGTCTGTTTTAAGATCGACGAAGAACAGAGGCAGGGAATTTGGTCTGTGGTGACTTAAAGAACAGCGTAGTCTAATATATTATGCTTATTCTGCTTATGTAATCACCTTAATAAATCATGTATTTGACATTTAATGTTTTGATTCTTTGATCGGACTTTAGAATAAATAAAATATAATGCAAAAATGAAGAAGAATCTAATCCGATTTGATGACATGGAGACAATTTTTAGATGGTTATATTTGGAAATAATACAATACATATATTAAACAGTGAAGTTATCCATTATAATTTTTATAAATCTATCTAGGTTAGATAGATTAATTTCAGGTTAGATTATTGTGATAATATTGTTATTGATTCAGTTACATCTAAAATTAATCAATATTTAATAGTCTGATCATTAAATTAAAAAAAAAAAAACAGTATTCAGTTCTTTATTCTTCGCTTTTTTCACTTTTAAATTCTTCCATCATATCATTCTCAGACATTTCATTAATCTGATTGTGGCACTGAAAAAAAGAATTTATATCATCAAATAGTCTACATCTGATTTTTTATGATAATATATTTTAGCTTAATAACGTATTTTAGTAGGTACCAACCGTCCAAATTCAATGACATCTATACTAAGATAGCCATAAGTACGTAAATACGAATTTCTCTCGACTGGTTTTTGAAAAAGATAAAATCACAACAACTCACCATTCTATCAACGACTTCAGCTAATTCTCTTTCAATTTCTTCGATCGCCACCTTAGCTTTTGCTGGTAAATCATCGACTTTTTCTGGCAATTTTGTCTGCAATTTAGTCTTATGTTCACGGTGCTTAGCTTCTATTATTTTTTCTAGCCTAGTTTCCCGATCAAACATCTATCGATAAATAATATTAAACTAAAACTCGTCGTCATCTGGCACTATCAACAATTTTGAGACCTTAACCTAATTTTTACATTATCTAATCTTCCTACATCCAAGTATTAAATATAATTCCCAATTTGTATAAAATAAGGCAAAATATAATTATTATGCTACATTGAAATTAAATTCAATAGTCGGTTATAAAAAAAAGACATCAATTAAAAAAGATTTTTTTTTTAAATAATAATTTTTGACTGAAAAATCAGTTTAAAAATGTATCTAGTACATTTCCCTAAAAACCATTATATTTGTAAATAGCAATTTTATATCATTGGTTACATCGTTTTTTTATATGACGTCATAATATAATATTATTTTTTTAAATATATAATAATATTTAAATCACTCAGAAAACTTAAATATCAACTATGTATAGAAAAGGGAAAAACATTTAAAAATAATTGTATGAGGACCCTATGCCTAGCCAAGTTCTTTCTATTATCGTATGTCTAAACTTTAAGCAACTCCCTTGTTTGATGTGGTTGTGTGAACTAAGTTGTCAGTAATGTTTGTTGATAATATGACTACTCAACTCACAGCTGTCAACCGCACTCTATCGAATGGTCCGGGAGTCACAAACCAATCGTTCATTTCGATCACACGTGTGTTACCGCATTCGTCACCGATAGCTATCAGTGCTCCGTCAGCATGGCAGCTAATACAATTTAACCTACTGTCAGACGCCTAAATAAAAGATAAAGGAAATAATAAAAATAATAATAATTACTATCTTAGGCACCTTAATCGAAAGTATCGGTTTTTGTTGTTTCTGTAGAACATCCCAACAGTCCATGAACCCATCAGCTCTGGACGTATAGAAAACTGAAGGCTTCGAATTGCTCCATTTGCCATCGGTTAATCTCATATCGTAATTTCTATAATAGTATATAATTTAATATGACGTGTAAAATTAAATCCAAGGTGTTTGTTTTTATTATACTATTATTATTACTCATATTGGTGTTTATAGATATACGTACTTGGTCCACATTATCTGGGATTCCTTTGCCTCTTCTGACCATATTTTTGCCTGCCAATCACCAATAGTTAAAAAGTTTTTTAAAAACGTCGGATTTCGACGCACTGAATATATGGGGCCATAATGACATTTATAAGTAGATGGTATTTTTTCGAACACTGTTCTGCCCTTTCGGTTTCCATCAAACACGTGTCCAGTACTTGTGCCAATCTATATTTTGTAAATAATATAAAATTATAAACTATTTTTTTTCTATTTTTTTCACCTTCAGGAACAATAAACTAGTTTTGAAATAAATATCAAGTATTTTAATAATAATTTCAAACGGCACAAAAAAATAAACAGATGGTTTTCTATACCAAAAAAATCCAGAGGAAACTCTCTCTATATTAAGTTGTATACACAATAACAATTATTTTTAATACCACTAGAACACTGTCCAATTAAATAGTGCCCTATTTTCCTCTATGCACACTGTAATAGTTATTTTCATAACTAAAATTCTAAACCAAACACAACGCAACAAAAAATTAAATAAGTGTTCCGTGGGTTTCACGAAGTTTTGGTCCCGGTTACCTTCGGTTGAGCTCTGAATTTCCAAACTCTAATTATTATAAATAAATAATAGTAATATCGCATATTCGCATTGTAATGTGTTGTGGATTATGTTTGTTTATCGAAGGTTTCATGTTACGCAATTAAAAATAGTCTGCATGATTATAGTAGTCGTTGTCTGGTAGGGTCATTGGGAGGGATAACTGATACTAAAAAGTATTATAATATTATCGTAGAACTTCTCTATCCTGAGAGAACATTTTTAAGTACCATGAAGCGTATTGGAATCGGAAAATGGTAATCTATGCAAGTGACTCCATGTGCGCGGCCCCACTGCATCCATTCCGGTTCATCATTTTCCTCGGTTTTCAATAAATCTAAGAGCAATACATCCGTGGGTTCTTCAAGGTTTCTGGTATCCCACCACATGATCTGTGGAAGTTATCACAATATAATGACTATTATAATTATAGATATGTCTGCACGATATTGTGCCAAGACGTTAGCTGAGTAATTTAAATTGACGATTAATAATTATTTTTTAAACTGTTGAGCAATACGTTTTTATACTAGTAAAAGATAAATACGCTATAATAATTTAGCATGTACCTACTTGGCCATCACTGGATCCTGTCAAAAATTCCGAGTTGGTCTTGGATTGAATCCATTTGAGACTATGAATTTTGTCACGATGACCATTTCTTACATTGCTAAAGCCAACGTTTGTAGAACTTATTCGCATGTCCCACAACGCGACCTGTCCGTTCATCAAGCCACCCGCGAGCAGCTGTCCGTCCCTATGGTGAAACTTGATCCTGGTGATTGGGTATTGGGACTTAATCGTAAAATGTGGAGAAGTAAACATCTCTGTAAATTTAGGAGGTTTGTACATCAATCAAGGTATGCCCAGGGAGTTAACCAAAATTGAAAATTCGTAAAATACTCTATTGATCAAAAATACATCAATCAAATAAAAAAAACATAAATTTGGTTACATTCGGAATTCCAGGCTTAGCGTTCACATTTTTTATGTTGTAATAATAGTTAATCTATTCTTAGTGTAGCGTAAGTTGATAGGCCAATTCTTATGTCTTAATATATTTAAGTGCCCTTCACCCTAAAAACCGAAAATAGTTTAAAAAACAAGGTATATAGTCCTTGTACATGGGTACTTTCATTCAACTTTTTAGTTAATTATATTTTAAATTTGTCTTGAGAGGACGGCGGTACCCAAACATTTGTGCTCTCCGGCATACACAAGTATTATATACCAAATTTTCGTTCACTAGTTTCAGTTATGCGGTGTTAGTTTTGTTATTTGAGTGAATTTAACTACTATCAAATTTTTAGGTATAAAAATTATATGTGTTTAAGCATCGGATTTTATTTAATATTTTAATTTTCAAGGGATATATGAATATTTTTAATTTGTGATATTTCACAATTTCACACACCCATTTATTGCTTGATAATTAAAATATTAGACACACCACAGACGCTTAAGCGCAGCTAATGTTTTTATCTAAAAGTTTAACGATACATAAAATTCACTCAAATATCATAGCGAACAGCGCACTATTGAAACTAGTGAACGGACATTTCGCTATATCGTACATTTGTAAGTCGGAAACAACAAAACACATGTGTATCCTAGTAAATTGTTATAATTTTGATTTATAAAAAGTACAAATGACCACTTAATACAATTTTAAATGAAATGGGCTTTACATACAGCTGTGAGGGCGATAACCCCTTCTCACTACCACCCATAATTTTGTCCTGTGAAGGATAAACTTATTTACGAGGATTGTCTATAGTTGCACATATTTTTATAACATTCAATAGTGAAAAACATTTTGTCTATTGTTAAAAAAGAAATTTTGGAAGGCATAATATTTTAAGAGCACACCACGTTTTGTTGACAGATAAAAAGTAAATATTAATTTATTATTATTAAATAAATCCTATTTGATATCCATATTTTACACCTTGCATTTATACAAAGTTATGAATTACAATTTTTACAGTTTTTATAGTGTTGTTTAATGTGTTGTATAGTGTTGTAAATGTTATGGCAATCGCCGCTAAATACTAAGTTAGTTATGAAAGTTGATCCATATTGATCCATACATATATATATAAATATTGTCATCATTATCTTATCTAATTAATTTAGTTGAACTTGTAGAAGCTTAACTACAAAATAACTTTCAAAAATTGATTAACTTTGTATATTTTAAAAACCCTTAGCAATATAAAGAATTTGGGGAAATATTAATTCTTCGCTATTATCGCTTGCGCCTTTGCTCTTCACTCCAAATATTTAAAAAAAATGTCTACTAGTTATCTTCCGCTAAATATATAGGTATATACTTTTAAAAATGACACTGCTGGCAATAATGAGATAAAAATAATAGTTAATTAAAGATTGTCAGTAATCATAAATTAATCTAGAAGAACAGTCAACTTTTATATTTTAAGTATACCCTTTTTTAACTTAACCTTTTTTTTTTATTATCACAACTCTTGTACTTACTGAAAATGTAGTAGAGGTGATTTTTTTTTCTTTGTAACTAATAACCTTAACCGTATGATAAATGTAAATATCGTGTAAGTGCTAACTGCGTACTTTCTTACCCGTATCATATACGTATGAGTCAGGACTGTTCTTTGGATTGGCCATCTGGAATCTAATGTCAGAGTAACTGATCGCGATCATTGAGCTCTGTTCCGATGACCAAGATATGTTTTGTATCGGTCTCTTTGGTGAGCAGGGGTCCACAATTACCGCCACTGTCTGATAAGACGGAACTAGTGTTTGGAAATCTTTACATTTCGATTCGGTAAAGTACGGTTGAAATATATCTATTGCATTATTTTGTTTTATGAAGTGTTCGGTGAGCTAAAAATAACCATATGGATTTGAACATTTTTCATTTACAAACATTCTTATTAATAAAACAGAAAATATGTCCTTATTTATATACTTGGCTAAAAACATGTATCAAAATTAAATATAATTTATACTGTATACGATGTACATTGACTGATTTTTCTATTCATATAAATAAAAAATATTTGATTTTCGACAGAGTTAGGACGAATAAGACGAGGGAATTATAACATAAAATTCATTACTATTTAATGCAATTATTTCTGTAGATATATTTACATACAATTGACATTGTTTTAACCGATTGTAAATACAATTTGTCTTTCTCCGCTTTCCTCCGAAATCTGGACACTTGTTCCGGATCGTCTAGGTGTACGTCAATCGGCCAGCCACCTTCGCTATGCAAAATTCCGCGATCAACATACTTCACTCTTATCGTGTTGGCCTATATACACACCGTGTACTAGTCAATAAATAATATAGTAAAATGTATTATTTTACTAGGAAAAAATGTATACGTCGTGTTCCGACCACTTGTTGGTTTCGTTGGTGGATTTGTCAACTGGATTCCTCTGTATCCAATCTTTCTCCAGACTAACGTCTGGCAACATATTTATCAACACTGTAGGTCCGTTGTTGTGAAATCGACATTGTTTGCCATAGTCACTCCTTTTTTTTTCGTATGTATACATTTTTACGGGTTTTAGTAGCTCATGCAATAATCACTTTTGACAAAACAAAACGAAAAAATGATTTATGATAAATTAATACATGTACATATTTTTGCTTGCATATATTAACAACAACTCGTTGTTATCGTTGTACCTATACGTGCTAACGGTCTCCATAGTCACAGTTTATTAATTGTAACTACATTTATACTTACCTCTAACTTATAGTATTTTTTATAATTTTGTTATTATCTAGAATATGCTTGACGAATATTATCGTATTATAGATTTTCACTAAATATGTGTTTCCGCTCTGGATACACTGGTATTTTACTAATTTCACAAAATTCAAGCAAAAAATAAACTACAAAATCTTATTATATTTAACCTATAATATGACCAATTTAAATTACCCACATACTTATGACAGAAAAATATGGTGCAATTATAGGAGGTACCCATTGCTTACCTACTTAATAGTAATAGTAATAATAATAATAATAATAATAATTTTACTAAATGTAGCCGGTTATTATTTTTAAATCATTATTATACTGAGACATTATTGCCACTATATTTAACATCAAGTTTGAACGGCATCACTCCAATGTCGTTTAACCTGGGTGGGCTGATTCGGCACGGGCCACGTGCTCAGAGGCTTGAAATTATTAATTGCCAAGGTTTTCTCCAATGTGTATCATTTAGGTTAGTTAACCTAATACATCATTATGTTATACATATGATATATAGGGACGCATATTACATCAGGAATTATTTATTTCCTAAACAGTTAAATTAGTACATTTTAATATGATGTGTATAAATTCATTTTTACGACGTGAATACTATAGTATTACGCTTACGCATAAGTAACTATTAATAATATAGATTATTGAAAAAATGAATTGTATTAATTAGACTCAATTATTTTTGGATTTTAAGCTACCTATGTAATATATATTTGGTCATAGAACATATTAATGTAACTATTCGTAGCTTTACCTTTTGAATATTTATATATTTCAATAAATTAATCATCTTTAATTTACGTAAATAGATAACTTATGTTTATACTTAACAGGATTTTTCTTATATGATAATTACTAGATATTAATATATTATTATCAATGACTCATATAGGTACTCAAATATTAAATATTTATACTACTTTATATTATTATATATAATTATTATTATTATATTATTTTTATCGACAAAAAATTACAGCCTACAAAAGTAAATAAATAAGTACTTTTACTTTCATTGGCTTTAATGAATTAGGCACTAAGAGAATTAGCTGAAAGTAGAGCAAGAATAAATGCATTTAATAAAATAGTTTTTGATACTAATTATTGTAAAATTTGGTGCACAATTTTACAGTAATTTTTATTTACTGTTAATGTTTTATATTTTTTATTTTCGTATGCAGTATACACGTACAATATGTTAATAAATTTAATACTTACCATTGAAACGTGTATCCAAATTAATAAAATATGCAGTAATAATTTTTATTGACATGTGAATGACATTAATAATTTTATCATACAATTTGTATTTTCTTGCAGGCGTGTTTTGTCAAAAGGGCCCATATTAAAATTTCAGCCCTGGGGCCCAATGGGTCCTTAATCCTGCCATGGTCACGGTTAAATGCCATGCACACTGCAATAATATTTCATAGTGTGTCATCACAATTCAAGCAGAATGCTTGTGTACATTTCTAAATTTTTAATCCGATGTAGATAATAAATAATACGTGTTCATGATGGTACTTATATTTTAGGGCAACAATTGCCATGACAGTCGTAAACTTTTTATTGCACCAAAAACCGAACAAATCATAACCACTACCACCGTATAATAATGAATATGGTAAACAATATATAGGTGGTTTATATTTTCAAAACGGCAGAGTTATAAGTGTTTGTTGTGGTATGAGCTCAAAACGGTATATTATAATATAGATACTTACGTGTATCTACTATGCATAGTAAAGAAAAAAAAATCGAAAAATGTATATTGGACATAAAACGTCGGAGAAGTCTTTTTGATTTATGCATAACACGAAGCGTTGTGTATATTATGAAGGCATTATATTGAGTCGATTTCAAAGGGAGAAATTCGAAAATTAACTTCGTAATTTATTTTTCCCCACTCAAAGTGGTTGATTGTATTGTAATTATTATAATTATTAAAACACCGATCGTATTAAAACACGGACATAACTTGTATAACTTTGTGTAGTGTAGGAGGACACCTCGTGAATATTAACCACACAATATTATATATTATTATGTAAATAACATAAAGTAGGTGAAACGTTTTACAAAGGAACCTCTCTCGTACATAGGAAAAACTTCAAAGCCGATATTCGGTGGATTAGGTTTATACGATAAAATATTTTATTATTATTATATAGTTTTAACTGGGTAGGTACTTAAAGTATTCCGGAGCGGACCTCTCCGTTAGTGATAGATGATTCGTTTTCGAGCGTTGAGGCTCGTCGTCGGTAGTACAAATGTGTATAAATTATAAATTATTTAACATAATTTTCAGGCGCATAACAGCGGCAAAGTACGAATATAACATTGTGCAATTCGGTTTTTACAATCGTCATCCCTCTCTAAACCCGAATGTCTTTTTGTAATTTTTATTATCTTATATACGATATTATAATACACGTATATACACGTACCTAACCTAAACTAACCTAACCTATACAATGCGTATTATACCGAAGTGTATAATGGGCGTGTTGGTACACGGGTAACAGACGCTTTCAACACTTCGGCAGCTCCGAACAACACGATATTTAAAAAAAATATTACATATTCGTACGATCACGTCGAATTTTCGGTTTTTATAGACATTTTTCTCCGTCTGTAATATAGTCGACTACAACTACAACGTCTACAACACACGCCCGGACGAACGGCAATCCTCGTGCGTACCTTTTACTCTTTGTTGACGTCCGTGGAAAATCACACATTATTATAAGTAATAATATTACCTACTGCATATTAAATAATAAAGAAAGACAAAATTATACGGTTTATACGGGCACTCGCACTTAACGTCTCGTAGGCGTTCCGAAGAATGTTGTATAAACATTATTAAATGGATGTTAAGAAGGAGCTCATCGGTCCGTGCACCCGTAATTACATGTATTATTACAACACGCGTTACGTCTTGCGGTCGTACCCGAGCCTTAAGGGACAATATATTTTATTATAGGTGGGTATCAGGTACCTATCGTATTTTCGTACGGACAACTTCTGTCCCCTGTTGTGGAAAAAAAAACAATAATTAAAAAAACGAGAGAGGCTAAACAATTCCGTATCGTGGATTTTTCGTTAAGTGGCAGTGTTGAACGAACTAATTCTCCGTTTGTTACCAAATCCGTACGATACGTAAACGTGTGCGAGTGTGTGTGTATGTGTGTGTGTGTGTGTGTGTGTGTGTGTGTGTGTGTGTGTGTGTGTGTGTGTGTGTGTTATATTTTACTCTATTGTATTTCACCGCCAGGCTGTAACAATACTACTATAATTACCGGTCGAACGAGGAGAAATGGAAAAAAAAATAACCGTCAAAACCCGGGAATAAGGTCTGCATTCCTTGCAGACACGCGTTTTTTTCGGCCTGCGCATTAGATATAAATAAACAACACACAATTATTAATTATAGTATGGGTTTAAATGGTTTAATATACCGATACGCTACCGTGGTATATCCGAACCGCACTTTTTTCGCCGTCCTTCAATATCCCTCTACATTACAATATCGGCTCATGTACTCAAACTTTTATCACACCATATTATAATGTAGGTAGACCCTTCTTTTGATACAAACGTTTAGATATCCACAATAGGTGTCGTTTATAGAACCAAGTATGTTTACCGATATACTTTTATGGTCCTAGCATCTAATTTCATAGAAAAATAAGTTTTCATGCCTGTATTTTAAGAACAATTTAATTTAAAAAGTTAATTTTATAACTTATTAAAATGGTGTACGAATAGACAGTATAAACACTGATAGTGTAAAGTGTCCCGTACAATAATAATACATAATAATAAGTAAATGTGTGTGTAGTATATTATGTGTTTGATATTTGTATAATATACTGAAAGAATTATAAGGTCTATAATAATTGACATTTTTATCAACCGTAGAATTTTACATTTGTAAGTGATGAGATGGGTTTCATTATCAAATGTATTTTTTTGTCAATAAAAACTTAGATACTAACAACACACCTCATTTCGTAAATATGCATCATGCCAATTAATTCTTAGTTATTACTTATTAGTTTAGGGTGGAAATGATGTTTTTTTTTTGTTTATTTCTTAATACACGTTTACCAAAAAACTTGTTTCATACATTATACTATCATACAATTTAGAAATGAAACTTTTAATTTGGATTTATTTGGGAATTAGGAAAATTTTATCTATTGAGAGCATTTTTCATACATTTTATAAAAATGTAATTCTTAAAAAAGTGTAAATATTATTTATTTTGCATGATGCATGGTCATATAATTTATTAAGTAGACGTGTATGTACTAGAGAAAAGCGGTGGCGGCTTCACATGTTCAGACAAACAATATTTGCGGCATATCTAATCAGAAATATATTATAATGTAGCTAATGAATTTTTAGTTTTATTTACGACTTGCATCAAAACCAAAACACAAATAACAATTTAAAAATACAAATTTGACTGTCAAGCCAATTTTTTTTAAATTATGTTAAATAAATGTATGGACTTTTTTACAATTTTTTTAATATTATTTTTTCATTAAACTATATTAATGTAAATAATTTTTCTTGTTTTTTAAATCATTTAAATCCACGTCCTAGTTGTTGTCCAAAGGAAATACATTCGGGTAAAATACTGAAAGCGTTATATGTATTTGTTAATAATTGTAAAGTTTTTAATTGCAGTTGAGCTTAAATATGATGTGAATGCATCTGTCAAGTGTCGATAAGAATTTAAATAAAGTTACCTTTCATTGCATAAAATGCACTCAATTCTTATATACCTAACTTTAATAATAGTATAGTTATTGTACATGTAGATTCGTAGAATAT